TGTTTGCCACTGTTAATCACCTCATTGCTGTAATGCTTTGACTTTTTGAATCACTCTTTCGTTTTAAAACAATTTTTAAAAATGATTTTCAACTTAAAAAATATTATCCAAATTCAGTAAAAAAAAAAGTTTGTCTGTGGACTAAAATTCCCATTTGCCTAACAAAACATAGTCCTCCTTGCAGCTCCCTGTTGGTTGCACCATTGGATGTTTTAAAGATAACTAAAAACTCCAAGTGGTGGCGTGGAACAAAGAAGTCAAGATGCCTTCAGTTCTGTTTCTCACTCTTGACCACGACCGTCCCATGGTGTGTAGTTCAGATCTGTTGTTGAGATGCACGTGCAGCATGTCGGTGGGAAACACAACCTGCCCCAGTGACATGGACCCTTTACCAGCTTCATCTCAAAAGAAAGCATCACTGAGTCCACAGGTGGCACTGGGGCAGCCCTATAACTGGGAGTTTTTTCAATTAACTTCCATGTAAGATACGTTGTCTATTAAAGAATAAGTAACAAAAATTAAAATAAGTAATTAACTTCTATGTAAAACATATTATTTATTTAAAAATAAATTTTAGATATATATATATGAATATATATATAACTAAAATGCATAGTAGTCACAGCAATCTTTTTAGAACTTAAGGCAACAAAAGATTTTTTGAGGGGAGGAGTATTTCATCGCCGCCCTTGTTGGAATCACTGGCACCGAGATCACAGAAGCAGAAGGGCTCCGGCTGCACTGCTGCTCCTCAGGACCCCACGGGCAGGGGACTCCCTTACCACCGGCACCGGGCAGGTGGCTCCCGGGACACCAACTTTGGGCAGCACTGTTGTGTAGTTCAGCTGGTTAAAGGTGGTTTTGTTAATTTAATCATGTTTATAATGCATTCAGGTTTCACCAGGAAAACACAGAGGATTCATACTTTTTAAATGAACAAACCTAAAATTTATTAAGCAATAAAAATGATTGCCCAATGACTTATCTTTCTGTGTACTCAATTTTCCTAAAGTGAAACAACTCAAGAGGAAAAGAATTAGAAACGGACATGAGGGTGGAGAGCGCAAATTCCCGGAGGGTCCAGATGGTGCAGTCTGAGTGGGGGGCCGGGAGAGAGGTGTGGAGCTGGTCGGGGCCTGGAGCAGCCATGCTCAGCTTCCGCCAGCCGTTTCCTCGTGGGATGCAGGACCATTGTTACCCAGATCTGGCAATTTTTTCATGAAAAGGCCGACAATCTAAATGGCTGTGGAAGACCTGCTGACTTTTAAATGACAGAAATTAATTCAAGCTCTAGAAAACACTGAGCAGTGCAGACAAAACAGACCCACAGCTGCAGGACGCCCCAGGCCACCGTGCTCCTGATGAGAAACGCAAGTCGTCACCGAACCCGGAAGACAGGTCAGGAAAACAGGCTTTTTTCTCTGATCCTTTTTCTTTCCCAAAGAGCGACATTTCAGGAAAATCCAGATACGCTTACATCATGTCAGGAATCTGCAGTCTAACGAGAAAAGCAGCATAATTAGAGTAATGGCTGGGAGCGGCCTCAACTCTCTGCGCCGTCCTTTCTGTTGAATCAGGACCAAGGATGGTGTCACCAGATGCCGGCTGACTATGTAACACACACCAGATCTATTTAACCACTGACGAGCCACATTCTCTTTCCAGGGCAATAAGTTAAAAGATTATTTACCTCCCTTGGTTACAAACAGAGGAAATACGTCTTCCAAGACTCAGGGTACTGCGGCCAGTGCCCCCCACCCCCACACGAGAAACTATTAGCCACAAAGCTGCAGGGCACAGGTGTCTTCTGAGAGGGAAGCACTCACTCTGCCCTCAAAAGCTTCAGGCCCTGACCTTCTGAGACTTGTAGCTCAGGGCAAATCTTCCTCAAGGAAAAATCGGAAGACTGGCACAGATGTTAGCTCAGGGCCAACCTTCCGCAACAACAATAGCCCCACCCCCCGCCCCCCACCCCCGCACCGTACAGCCAGGTTGGCATGGCCCCGTGTGACCTCCGAGCCTCTGGATCTGTGACCGTGAGTCTATTTCAGCACCTCAGGAAACTTTGCATGGTTCCAGCCTCACCATTCAACCCACTATTGGCCCAGAGTGTCACCCTGGCCTGCCCACCCTGAAGAAAGCGGCCGAGGGACACTGGCACAGGGAGACAGGGTCGGCCTGGAGGGCAAGAGGGAAAAAATTGAAGAGAGGGAAGCCTTTCCATTTCTCACAAATCAGCTTCTTTCATAAGAAAATCTTCATTTGTGCAATATTCTCTCTTTTCCGGCGATTATGTTCTGAGTTGATTTTTTTTTTTAATAAACAGCAGCAAAAAACTTAACAACAATCAATATGACCCAATTGCATTCTCCCAAATATCCATTTCTGAAATTTCTATCATCAGGTGTTGGGGGCAAGTATGCCATTTTAACCTCAGATCAGGAGGGAAGAGATAAGGGTGTCCCTGATCACATCACAAGACGGAGGCCATGCTGCTCACCCCAGTTTTGTCTGGTGGGGTTGGAGTGGGGCGAGGGGATGACCATCTTAAAATCACCTGATCCATCCTGAGGATTAGAACTTCACTAGAATAATACAAAGCTCCTCTTTTAAAATGTAATCTCTTCAAAAGAACGATTCTCTAACAGTGAAACTTCAAGCATCAGTGGAGAAAAGATATTTTGAGGGACACAGCCTGCTCCCAAAACCATATGATGGAGGCAGCATGCACCGGCTCCTCTGAGCCCTGTTGCCGTGTTGACCTGCTCACAGGCCGCGCCCACTCGAGAGACCCTTGACACGCTAAGCACGGCAGATTGAGAACTCACAGTGATGCAGAAAATGGCCCAACTGCCCTGAAATCCTTTTATCTGACCAACGTTGTTCCTGCCCCTACCTTCCATGCACTCGATTCTGGAAACATCTCTTCTCACAGAGGGACGGGTAGTCTAAGGATGAAATCTCTTAAGCACGTGGGGTGTGGAGTCACTACGCCTGGTTCTGAGCTCCCACTCTGCAGCTGACGACAGAGGCTGTCTTGACAGTGCTCCCAGGCTCCCACCCTCCCGCGTAGCCAGTGCCCCGTTGCCCCTCAGGCGGCAGTAAGTTATCTGTAGCCCGTCTGAGCACTTCGGCTCCAACTCCTTGTGAAGCACGGACCAGCTACAGGGCATACCTTGCCATGTCGGCCGGGCTCCTCACGCGCACAGCCAACGACAGGCCTCATTGGCCGAGAGAGTTTATTTACGGTTCCTGATTTTTTTGGACCAGTTTCAAAGCTAAGTAAGCATATGTTTCGCCTCTGCTGTTTCAGGCAGTAGCTGAAACGTAAAAATAAAAATGCTTACACTCGCCTGGGCTGCAGTGTGAACTGCGCTTGACCCCTTCCTGGCACATGGTAAATGCTTGCTGAGTGTCATTTCTTGTCTTCCTTCTCTGTCCTTTGCTACTTGATGCTTTCTGTTCTGCCACCAAAAAACAAACCCAAAACCACATAAAGTAACCAAAACTTCCTGAAATTCTCCCCAAAAATGTCTTTTGTGGGTGAAATTGTGCTTTCATGCGATTCCGGAAAGTAGCGTGTAACTATCGGTAGATACTGACGTTGCTGATGCAGAGGAGCGGGAGCTGGCGACAGAGCTGGGTCTGCAGCCGGGAGCTCCCCTGCTGCCTCCTGCCACAGCCTCCTGCACGCTGAGGCAGCACCAAAAACAAACCTGCCACGAAGATTCACAGTGGTTATTTCTGTGGAATCAAGGGATGGGGGCAAACGTGGGAGAGCGGATATCTTACAGGGCAGAGGGGCATCTGTAGTTTGAACGAGGGTTCCAGTCCACCCCCCAGGATTATTCCCACATGCTGCCACACCCCCCCTGCCCCCCCAGTGAGGGGCACTGCTTTAGATTTTCTAGACCTGGTCTCGCAGGGGAGGAAAAATAATTTCTTCTCTACCTCCCTTTGTTCTCGGTGCAGACGCCCCTGTAACACAGACAGATGAAGAGGAGAAAAAAAGCAATTCTAGTTATGTGCCTCCAGGCGCCCCGCAAAGATATGAGACTCCAAAGGCGGCTGGGAGATTGAGGATTATGGGCTGCCCGGAGCTCCGGAAAGGGACAGGGGTCTGTGGCTGACAGGGAGGAGGCAATTCCGGGAAGCTGAGGCTAGGAATGTCGGTAAATAGGCGCCCTGCTGGGCGGGTGAGTCTCAGGGGAGAAAGGGCCTGGGACAGCCCCCCCCCCCCCCCCCCATGCAGAGTGCCTTTATAAACGTGGATTTCCCTTTCAAAAGGGCGACTTCTACTCTGGCTCCAGAGCTGCTTCTGTCTGCAGTTTCTCAAAAATAATCAGCTCAAAGCAGGTCTGAAGCTTCAGATATGTGTTTGGGGCACCGCCAGCTGCCCTGACCCTTCCCGCCGTCCAACCGCGTGCTCCTCCAGCTCCTCCCCACGACGTCCCGTTAGCCGGCCTAGCGATGTTTTAGGACCCGATAATGCTCAATTTCCAACGTCCTAAGGGCAGGCTGACGTCAGACCTTACAAAGATCGAGTTGTTGTCTCTGCAGAGGAGAGCTAACCACATCAAGGCTTGCTCCCTTCAGCCTCCACACTTCTCACCCCCTGAATTTCTGAGTTCTGAGACCGGCCTCAGGTACACACTTGTGTCCACATCTGCCAGGACCACAGGTGAGATGAGGGATAAAAGTCAAGACTTTAACCTCCTCAGAGCCGGGAAACATGATAACTAATGTGATTCTCATTCTTCGCTATCAGAAATACACGGACTCCTGGTCTGTAGAATCCTTCTCACGGGTCCCACCGTCTGCTGTGTGCTCCGGGGCTCTCCTCTAACGTTCTAACGTCCTCTCCATTCCCTCTTGGGGGGAAATTTAAGTTGACTTTTCATAAACAAAAGCCCACCCCAACAAAGGAGGGACTGGAGCCCCCTCCATCGCTCCTTTTCAGCCCGTGTTACCCGCAGCCAATAGCAACACTCTCCGTTCAGAAAACAAACGCCAGTGCCCCGTGTGCACACTGAGTCCAGCACCAATCTGTGCGGCGTCCTCGCGGCTGGCTGTCTCCCGCAGCACACGATGAACTTTTATGGAGGGGGCGGGGAGTGCAGAACCACATGCAAGCGAAACCCAACATCCTTCTCCTCCTCAGTGTCATGTCAAAAGCCAGATAAGAGCCAAAGAGGAGGCTGGGCGAGGAGTGCGCCACGCAGCCGCTCGGAGAACCACCCTCCGGCTCATTCCGGAGCGGGTCACGCCTGGGCACCACCGCAGCGTCTCTCCCCCCACAGGACCCACCGCGGTAAGTGCCTCCCTGTTTGTTTTCCTCCCACCACACGTTTGCAGCTGACCTGGGGAGGATTCCTGCTAATGACGTGTTTACAAAACAGTAGCCGGACTAACCACCCGCTGGTAAAAGGGGAAAAAGACTCCAGATCGTTTGTGGAAATGCTCCATGTGCAGATTCTTGTTTTGGGTCCTGCCAGCAGTTTCCAGGGAAGATCACAACAGGGTTCGCTGCAGCTGCTGATTGATGTAAAATCCTGGAAGATGATGAGGCTGCGGGGGAAGGACGGAGGGAAGGAGGGCAGAGAAGGACGTTCAGTAACTTCCTCAGCTTTTACCTAGAAAATTACAGCGCACAAATGTGGGTTTAAGTAGCTGTGACAGGACTAGTCAAAGTCCTTATGGAAAGCCCACTGCAGAGAAACCCAGTAGGAGACAGCTGCTCTCTAAGAGGAAAACTGAGTTCTCCCTCCTTCCAGTACAAGGTAGGGAAAGCTCTAAATTGAGTAGCAATGGGATTGGTTGTTTTTTCCCTTGCTTTTTAAGATGAAGAGCTTGTGGTTCTTCAAAAGGAACGTTTCTTTGCTGTGCTGCATGTCTGAAATCTCACACCCAAGACCTGTTGGAATAATTGGCCTCGGGCTCGCCTAAGGAAGGACCGTGGCTAGACGCAGGGAAGGAGCTGGGAGAGGGCTGCGCCTGCCCGGTGGTCCCTTGGTGGTCAGACAACTGTCAGCACCAATGGCTTTTTGTCTAATACTTTATTCTTCCCTCCAAAAGAAAGCTAATGAAAACCAGATGAGGCTTTGATAACAGAACTTTCATCAGCAATTACTCTCTTAAATTGGCCCTTTTCACTTAAAACAAACTCATTCGCCCAAGTTTCCACTAACTTGTTGCTAAATTAAATCCATCAATGTTTTGTTTGTTTGTTCTGCAGAAAAAAAGGCCCAGGGACGTTTCTCCGGGTCTCAAATTACCCTCTTCAAGTAATTCCTCTTACTGAATGATTCTCCTCGTGTTGGCACGTCTTCCAGACACTGAATGGTTTTTAAGTTTTTCATGGCCTTTATTTGTGATTTTACCTGACACTGAAGTCCTTTACTTTATAAAAGAATGTCATGCATTTTTATGTTACCTTACAACGAATTGTCATGGGAAGCAACATCCCTGACCTATGTGTTTAACCCAATAATCCCCTTTCCAGGGCCACAGCACATGGAGCTAGCCTTCAGAAGAAACTTTAAAAGGAGAAAAGCTTTATGCTCAAAGATTTTTTTTCCAAATTATTTATAATTTTAAAAAGCCAGAAGCAATCTAAATATCCAACAGTAGGAGGCTAGGTAAGGAACTTCTTATATATCATCTCAATGAAATATTTTGCAGTCATTAGGAAGTCAAAATTTGGAGGGTTATGAAGCATCATGGATGGGTGCTCATGTTATAAAGTTAACAATGATTATAATTATGTAAAAAATAAATGCAGGTGAAAAGAATTGAAGAAATTATGCAAAATTGAAAATAGTTGTGTTAAGCTGGTGGTTTGCCAAGAAGAAAAACTTTTCATCTACTCTCTTAGGTTCAGTTGCTGAGGGCCTGCAAATTACCTGACAAGTGACAGATTAGCAAAAAAACCCACAAAATTTAATCGCATATGTTATTAAGGTACATAGGGGAATTCACAGAAAAATGTGACTCAAAGGGATGGTTAGAATTTGGGGGGCCAGCCTGGTGGAGTAGTGGTTATGTTCATGAGCTCCACTTTGGTGGCCTGGGGTTCTCAGGTTCAGATCCCAGGTGCAGACCTGGCACCACTTGTGAAGCCATGCTGTGGTGGCATCCCACATAAAATAGAGGAAGATTGGCATGGATTTGGCTCAGCAACAATCTTCCTCAAGCAAAAAGAGGAAGATTGGCAACAGATGTTAGCTCAGAGCCAATCTTCCTCAAAACAAAAAGAATTTGATCCTTGTATACTGTCTTAATAGAGGAAAGTAAGGAGGAAAAAGGCCACTTATGGGAAGACAAATGACCTTTTAGAGATAAATAAGCGCTTAGGAGAGTAGATGGGCGGTACGTGACAACATCTGCTAAGGTGTGGTTGGAGACTCCCCATCTCCGGTGGTGAAGTGTCAGTCTTGCGGTTGCTCCCAGGGAGGGGACTTATGAAGCTACGTTCTCCTGAGACCTCAAACGCCTTCTGCTCACAGTAACTTTTGCGCCACAGCAGCATATGCTGGACCCCCTCAGGTGATCTATTCCTTCTTTTTCACCCAAACTTTTTCTAGTAGCCCGTTACTTTTATTATTGAAAAACTTTATAATGTTGCTAATTCCTATCTATTTTTTTCTTCCGGTCTCAATTTTCACATAAACTACAAAAAGTTAGACCCTTCAATCTGGCAGGTGCTCTTTGGTTCTCGTTCACCTGGTTTCTTCAGTGACATTAACTCTAATAAAGGTTTTTGCCTCATAAAACTTCTAATGAAAGTCGTAAAAGCCAAGACCACAATAAACATTGATGATATAAAAATTTAAAAGGTGGGAAAGACATAACTAATTAAATGAAGATTACTAACAGCCTTCTCTTAAACTGGACCGTCTCCACACACACCTTGCATCTGTGGTCACACAAGCTCGTCACGCTTGCTACTCGATTTTTCCTGTCGCCCAGAGCTGCGGTCCCAACCCCGCCTCCCGCCTGTTCCACAGCTGAAGCAGAGCAAACTAGCGCCTCAGTTTCCTTTCCTCTGAAATAACGTGATGGACTCAGCTCCTCCCAGCACCTCCGTCTCCTCCCTTTTTTAAACCTCTGCTTGTTAAATCGTCCACAGCGTGGGGCACGTGGTGGGTGCCCAGCACGTGCAGTTGGTACCTAATAAAGGTTGGGAGAGTCTTTTCTTCAGACTATTTTTTCATCTTCTTCAGTGATCAGAGTATGCTCTGATTATTCCGTTGATACTCAAATAAGATGCAAATACTCCTCATCGTTAAAGAGAAGGGAGTCAGGAGGAACACAGTACACGTGATCCAGGCGCAGCTTTCTGCTGGAAAGGATGAGTCCTCCGTTCAGCCAAATGAGGATGTTGTTCAGGTGGTTAATTAGGGGGTGGAAGGGCAAGGGTCAGACGGGGCCTGGCTTTGCCCGTGGAAGTTTCTCTGTGAAGCAGACTGACCCAGGGGGGAACCAAACGTCCAGCCTTGGTCTCCTTGGCTCCCCCACCCCCACACCCCGCAGCAAACACATCCACTGGCCCGTGTGGCCTTGGGTGTGGGAAACACACACAGCCGCCCCCCAGCACAAGTGCAAACAGGGACCTGGTTTGTGACAAACAGATCCATCAAGTCAAATAACCAAGGCGTGTGAGCGCTTTCTGAATGGCTGGGATTTTGTGTTATTTTATTGTTTGTTTTCGCCTCTATCTTCACGCAAAGGGAGACAGAAGTTGGAAATCTGTTAGTTATTTGGAAGTCTGCTATTTTCCATATTTTGGGGGGAAGGGGGCCTGTTTATCGTTAACCAAGAGGCCACCTGCCCCTGTCACACTCAGTCAGGCAAGTGTCAACCGGAGCGTCGGTCAGTGTGGTGGGAGAGGACGCCGGGATTTTAGTGGGAGTTCTCGCCTTCACTGAGCTTAGAGTTGTGCTGCCTGGGAGACAGGATACGTTACAAACAAAAAGGTTCTAAAAGTGTGCGGTACCCACAGAATACGGAGTTCAGCAGAGGGAGGGAGGGACAGATGGGAACCGGAGTGTGCGGCTTCACAGGCCACGTGGGAGGGGAGACTGAGGGGGAAGATGTGGACTGACTGCGCAGCTGCGTGTGCGCACCTGCCAGAAGGCCTGCTCGGCCGAGGAGCCCCGAGGGAGGACTGCCAGGAGGGAGGAGCCCGAGGAGGGGGTGTGAGAGCAGCACGAGAGGGAAATGCCAGCAGTTTGTTCCCCCAAAACGTCACGGCACAAGCAGCCGTATTTGGGGTCTCCTCTGACAGCAAATGTCGGAACGGAAGAGAATTCTCCAGCCCACTCCCCTCACTCTGTCCACAGCTCCACCCGCTTTGACAAGGCAGCAGCCCGTGCTCGGGCGGGGCCCCCATGGAGTCTGGTGCTCAGGAGGAGCTCAGTTCACCTCCTCGAGGCCCCCGCAATGCTTGTCAGTGCTTCTTCTCAAGTGCGATGTATTTACCGGGTAAACGCAGTGGGTACCGCATCAGCCGATGGGGACACCCCAGTGAATCCTGAATTGAAACTCTAAACACTACCCCATTTATGCCCACTGTCAACTGGGCAATTTCAGGTTACAATGGGAATATATTTATATAGCACTTCCCATTTCACTGCGCTATTTTGGCAACACTGCTGACTACTCTCCTCTAGGGAATCCACATATAACCCGATTCCGCAAAGAAGGTTCTCACTGAAGCCCTGAAAACTGGTAACACCAGTGTGGCTGATCTTTGTACAGTCTTCAGAATTTAACCAAGCCAGTAATACAGCTGCTCTCAAAGCCAGGCAAACCCAGTTGGGACCAGGAGGTCCCCAAGTGGACTTGGCTTCGGGTGCAGTTCTGTATTTTGTTTTTTGCAGGGTAAGACTCGCCCTAAGGTAACATCTCTTGGCAATCCTCCTCCTTTCCCCCACCAAAGCCCCAGGACATAGTTGTAAGTTCTTCTGCTTCTTGCATGTGAGCCACTGCCACAGCATGGCCACTGACAGATGAGCAGTGTAGGTCTGCGCCCAGGAACCAAACCTGGGCTGCTGAAGTGGAACGCACCGAATTTTAACCACTAGACCATCAGGGCTGGCTCCAGGTGCAGTTTTTAAATTGAAGGCTGAAGTAGAGTAGGAAAGCTCAGGCCCACAGTGGGTTAGGTGGGCATTCTTAGAACCCAAAATAGGAGGCCTGGTTGGGATCACTGGCAAAATGGCAGCCCCTGGACAACAAAGTTGAAGCAAGGTGGAGCCGAGGGAGGAGTTCACGTGCTAGGTTTAGCACATAAGGAATTCAATAAGCAGA